ACGGATGTCTTGAGTTTTTCGGAGTGTCTTGAGTTTTCTCAAGCGTCTTGACTAAAACTCAAGACGGGCGGGCGCGTCTTGAGTTTCTCAAGACGGCCGATGTCAGGGAACTCGAACCCTTCAAAATTGCTCTGCCCGGTTCGATCGGGCACCTTGTCGTGCACTTCAGCCTGCAAGCCTGCCTCCGCTCCTCCAGACACCATTAGCAGCGTGGATCCAGCTGGGCCTTCGCGCTTGGGATGCCCGACCGAGGGAGCGGCGGATCTGGCGACTGCGACGGTAGCCGCAGCCGTCGGCGCACGCGTGCCCCACGCGCCAGCGACGACGAGCAAGGCGCCCCCGCCTTCGCCCGGCACCGCAAGCAAGGCGCCGCCCGGAAGGCCACCTCCAACCAGGGCGCTACCTGGAAGGCCACCTCCTACAGTGGCAACTCCGACGGCCGCAGAGCAGCTAGCAGCACTGCCGCCCCCGCGCCGGCTGAACCCGGCAGAGCGCCACCTGCTCGCGGAGTCGCCGCGCAGCTTCCGGGCGGAGGCGCCGGCCCTGGCGCGGACGCAAGGCCCCCGGGATTTGAGTCGTCCGGGGCAGGCCGAACGAGCTGCGAGCCTGGTTCGACAGCGGCTACATGCTCAGACCAAGGAGAACATTCTTTCTGAGCGTTTGGTGTGCGACTCGGAGCTTCGGGCTGCAGGCGCACCAACAGCGAACGAGAAATCCAGCGACCATCGCTACCGCAGAAACGTGGATTTGCGTGGTCACTGGATCTCTGCCAAGAAGCCCAGAGACAGGCGGAATGCCAATTTGACGAGAGCACAGCTTGAAGTACAAGACCAGAAGAGAGCCGCTGAACAGAGAGCTGCCGTTTCGGTTGCGACGCCGGTTCCCTCTTCCAAGCCGCCGCTGGCGCCGCCGAAGACGCGGCCCAGGCTGTCTTCCGACATCAGTCTGATCGACAGTTCAGACGAGACGCTGAGCTGTGACGGCAACGACCGGGGCGACGCCCCAGCCGCCCAGATTGGCAACGACAGCGCCGACTGGGAGGACAAGGACCGCGATGGCAAGTTCGCTGTTTCCAAAGTGTGTCCTATTCTGCGTCTCTCTACTGACAGGCGGCTGAAACGCAAGCCAGACAAGCCGAGAAGGTTGCGAAGAAGGCCGCTGAAGCCGCAGCGAGCACTGCCCGAGACTTTCCTTGCTTTTCTTTGAAAGAAAAAGAATGTGGTTGACAACCGATACCATCCATCTTAGTTCATACCTCTTCTTGTGCCTCCTGTCTCTTCCAGTTCGCTTCCTTTCACTGCTTGCCCCCGCCGCCATTTAGGGCCTTTGAGCCGCGCCGATCGGTTCCCCGACAAGGCCGCGCTCGCCAGCCCTGCTGGGCGCCTTGCGCCGGATGGGTTTCGCTTGATTCATCCCCAGTATAGCAGTAACAGTAGCAGTAGTAGTAGTAGTAGTAGTCGTCGTCGTCGTCGTCGTTGTCGTCGTGGAAGTAGTAGTAGTAGTAGTAGTAGTAGCAGCAGTAGTAGTAGTAGTACTTGTAGTGGTAGCAGTAGTGGGAGTAGTAGTAGCGGTTGTAGTAGTAGTAGTAGCAGTAGTAGTAGCAGCAGTAGTAGTAGTAGTAGTAGTCGTAGTCGTAGTCGTAGTAGTGGTAGTTGTAGTAGTTGTAGTAGTTGTAGTAGTAGTAGTCGTCGTCGTCGTCGCAGTAGTAGTAGTAGTAGTACTCGTAGTGGTGGCAGTAGTGGTAGTAGTAATAGTAGTTGTAGTAGTAGTAGTAGTAGTCGTAGTCGTAGTAGTGGTAGTTGTTGTAGGAGCAGTCGTAGTAGTACTAGTAGTACTAGTAGTACGAGTAGTAGTCGTAGTAGTGTAGAAGTAGAAGTATTTGTAGCAGTCGTAGTAGTAGTAGTAGTAGTAGTAGCAGTAGTCGTAGTAGTAGTAGTAGTAGTAGTAGTAGTAGTAGTAGTAGTGGTAGTGGTAGTAGTAGTTGTAGTTGTGGTAGTATTACTAATGGTAGTAGTAGTAACAGTACTGGTAGTAGTCGTGGTCGTAGTCGTGGTCGTAGTAGTGGTAGTCGTCGTAGGGGTGGTACTAATCATAGGAGAAGTAACAGTAGTAGTAGTAGTAGTAGTAGTTGTTGTTGTTGTTGCTGTTGTCGCGGAAAAGCGTAGTAATCGTAGCAGTAGTCATAGTAAAAGTAGTAGTCGTAGTAGTAGTAGTAGTTGTAGTTGTAGTAGTAGTAGTAGTGGTAGTAGTAGTAGTAGTAGTAGTGGTCGTGGTGGTTGCAGTAGTCGTCCTAGTTGCAGTAGTAGTAGTAGTAGTAGTAGTAGTAGTATTGCTAGTACTAGTAGTAGTAGTAGTAGTAGTAGTAGTAGTGGTAGTAGTAGTAGTAGTAGTAGTAGTAGTAGTAGTACTATTAGTAGTAGTAGTAGTAGTTGTTTTTGTAGTAGTAGTTGTAGTAGTAGCGCTTGTGGTGGTGGTAGTAGTAGTAGTAGTAGTGCTCGTCGTCGTAGTCGTCGTCGCATCAGTTGTAGTAGTAATCGTAGTAGAAGTAGATGTACCAGTAGTGGTAGTAGTAGTAGTAGTAGTAGTGGTAGTAGTAGTAGTAGGTAGTGGTAGTAGTGCTAGTAGTAGCAGTAGTAGTAGTAGTAGTAGTAGTCGTCGTCGCAATCGGACCCGTAGGCGTAACAGTACTCGTCGTAGTAGTAGTCGTAGTAGTAGTAGTCGTAGCAGTAGTAGTAGTAGTAGTAGTAGTCGTAGTCGTAGTAGTAGTGGTAGTGGCAGTAGTAGCGGTAGTAGTGGTAGTGCTAGAAGTAGTGGTCGTAATAGTAGCAGTAGTCGTAGAAGTAGTAGCAGTTGTAGTTGTAGTAGTAGTAGTAGTAGTAGTAGTAGTAGTAGTAGTGGTAGGTAGTAGTAGTACGCCCCCCCCCCCCCTCCCCCCCTTTCATTTGACCCCGATACCCTCCGTCGCCGACGCCGCTGCGAGGCAGGGCGGCTCTCGTTTTCGCGACGGGGATGCGAGGCGGGCATGTGATCGTTGATCAAGTGCTGCACGAATGCAGGCCCTTTATAAGAGAGCAGGCCACCCGCCGAGTCGCGGCGCGCCCTAGCGCCGCCATGGAACGCATCGTTCGTAGCCGCAGGGTCAGTGCTGCTTGTGGGTCACCTGCCAGTTCCCTTTCCCGAACAGTTGCCACGGGTCGCAGGAGTCGAGGAAAAACTTCGTGAACTTCCCCATGACATTCAGGCTCGGGGTCAAGCCAGGCGCGTTCTCGTAGAAGAGCTGGGGCTGCGTGCGCATGCTCTCGTTGCGCTTCCCCAGGTAGCTGCGCAGGCGCATGCTGCCCTTCACGACGCCGATGTTGGCCTCTGCCATGTTGGTCGAGGACCGCGTCAGGAGGTAGGACGTCTTGGAGCCCCTCGTGCTCCTGGCGCTCTGCATGGGGCCCTTGGTGCGCTCGGCGGCCTCGGGGCTCTTCGCTGTCTTCATGGGGCCCTTCTTGCTCTTCATGGGGCCCTTCTTGTTCTTCCTCATCTGCGCGTGGCGCTTGGCGGCCATCTTGGTCGAGGCCACCCCCGAGCTCTTGATCCCGATCTTCTCGGTCTTGGCGAACTGCTTAGCGCTGTGCTTGGCCCTCGTGTGCGGGATGCCATCGGCCGTTGCGTTCTTCTTGTAGATCTGCGCACCATCGGTGTTAAGCAGGCCGCGCCCCCGATCAATCTTCGCCATGGCAGGGGCGAAGTCCTCGGCGTCCTCGGGCGGAGGCGGCGCGCCCTTCGGCGCGGCCGCATCCTTCGCAGGGAAGACCACGCGCGCGCCAGTTGCGCGATCCACAACCATGATCCCGCGGCCCACGCGCGCGTTCTGGGTGGCGCTGCCAGCGCGGCGGGCTGAGCAGGCGAACGCGTCCATCTCCACCTCGCCAGTGGAATGCTCGAAGTCGCCGGCAGCTTGCATAGACTTCCACGCAGCGGCCTCCGCGACGCGCGGCATGAGCAGCTCGACCTTCTTCCTGGACACGCCAGTCACGTGGTGAGTCAGCGCCTGGTCGAGCCCGCAGCCAGTCGCCCAGATGCAGCTGTAGTAGTCCGCGGTTGTCAGGCTCGTGTTCACCAGCGGTGTAAATGCCCACGCGGTCATTGTGCAACGGCACGAGTTGACCCAGCATTGGAAGCCGCCGTTCTCCTGCTCAACCATGTCGTATCCGCACTTCCAGCACGCGCGGTCGGTCTTGGGCGGGGTGCACCCAGCCTCGCGCAGAGCACGGTCCACGTCCGCGTCGCTCATCACCGCCACTTCGGCAAACGAGGGCATCTCCACGGAGAAACGTTTGCTCTTGTGCGAGGTCGACACCAAGCGACCACCCTCGGGCACCGCTGGCGGCAAGTAGGGCACGCTGGACGCCTTCTTCTTGGGGGCCGCGGGCGGCTTCTGCATGGGGGCTGCGGACGTCTCCCGCATGGTGGGCGCGGCGGCGGGCCTCTTGCGCGGCGCCCCCCTGCCCGCCCTGCGCGCGCCCCTGCACTTGGACTGGGGCCCGTTTCACATGGCGGCAGCGCGCGTCGCGCCCAGGGTCGGCGGGAGGTGGTGGGGGAAATAGATGTTCAAACAAGTGGGCCAAAATGCTGCGGGCAATCGCACTTGCAACGGCGCGCGGGCGCTGTGCATAACAATCGCAGGCAATGGCGGCAGCGGCGGCAGGTTCGAACATGTCCATGGATGCGCGAGCAGGCGGGAAGGATGAGGGCGAAGCACTAGGGGCAGCGACCGTCGCGACGGCGACGTCGGCGGCGACGATGACGACGACGACAGCGACGACGGAACAGGGGGCCAGAACGATTGGGCGACGTGTTTCCGCTTCAGACAGGCACGTTGGAAATGCGCGGGCGCGTGTACGTGAGTCCAGAAACCGATATGTTCATAAGCGAGCTGCTGAGGGGCGCTGAGGGCCCATCTGGGGCGCGGCGGCGCCCGCCCCCATCCAAGCGCGAGCGCGGCCGTCCGCTCACGGAGGAGCCGCCCCGAGGAAGTCCGCTGCGCCCGCCTCCTCCGCCAGGTCAGGGCCAACGCCATCTGCGCCCGACATCTGCGAGAGGTCGGCCTCGAGCTCGCCGCGGGCTGGGGCGGCGGGAGCAGGCGACGAAGACGCCGCCACAGCCTGCCGCTTCGCGGGGGAAGGTGAGCTATCGAGGTCGAGCGTCCCCGAGAAGGAAGCCAACGTCCTGAACCTCCTTGTCTCGGGAGACTCCACTTCGCGTTTCACGGCGATCTGGGCGCGCGGAGGGGCGGCCGTCGTTTTTGCCCTGGCTTTGAAAGCTTTGTCCACGAAGGTCTGCTCCTTCTGCAACAACGATTCAATCTTTGGCGGCGCCGTGAGATCTCTCGTCTTCCACAGCCCGTGCAGCTGCTTGCCCTCTGCGGTTAAGTGCTCGTCCGCGCCGCAGATCGACTTGCGCCGGGCGTCGGCCTCCTGGGTCCCTGGGGCGCGCCAGCACGCGTGATCCTTCGTGTTCACCAGGAACCCCGCGCCTCATGAACGCCATGACGCAAGCGCGGGAGGCTTTCTCGTGGAAGGCTGGTCTGACGAGGTTGAAGAAGTCGTCGAACTTCACGGAAGGCCAGCAGTCATTCTTCACCGCACTGGGGTCGCATATCTGGTCGCCGATGGCACGCGGCTCGCCCTTGACCCACTTGGTGGCCCCCCAACGCGCCCAGCGCATGGACTCGAACTGGCCAACGTCCAGCAGTGCCTTGACCATTTTAGACGGCAGCTGGTTGAGGGATCCATCATCCAAGAAGTCGCCCACGGTGAGAGAATCGGGCCCCCCCCCGCAAGAAGTCGATCTCGGGAGTCACGCGGACGCTCACGGTCGCGGGGTCCAACCCGTGGACGCGGGCGCTTCGGCGGCAGAGCGCGAAGAGATACGAGCGGCCCAGGAGCGTCTTCCCGAAATTCTGCTCTCCAATGAGCGCGAGGGAGCCGAGCGGGTCCATGATCTCCGCCATCACGTCGAGCACCCGCGGCTTGAAGTGCCCCTCCGTCAGAGCGATGCTCCACTCGAACTCCTTCGTCGCAAGCGCGCCCTCCGACGCGAGGCCGCTCAGCGCCTTCGCAACCAGGGCGACGGGCCAGCCGTGGGGGGGGGCGCCTTTGCGCAGCGCCTTCGTCTGCCATACCAGCTGCTTGAGATCGGCAGTGGAACGGGGCGCGTTCTTCAGGATGTGCTCGAAGCCCGCGTTGGCATCCTCGTCCGAGAGCTCGTAGAATTCGTTCACCTCGGCAGCCGTCTCGACGTCGGGCGACAAGAAAAAACCCGAAACTGCTTCCCGCCAAAGCGCTCGAAGGCGCACTGCCAGACCTTGACCCCCACCTTGCGCGACCGGGAAAGCGCTGGGGCGCAGCGGGAACAAAGCAGGTCTCATTTCCCTTGGCGCGGGAAAACATCCCAACCCTGAGCCGCAACGCCTTCGCCTTTTTCGTTTGGTCGCGCGCCTTGGGGCGCTGGAACACGAGCTTCTTCGCGCCCCCGAGCGCCATGCTGGCGAATGTGGCAGCCTTCGCCTTGTTGGGCAGGATGCAATGCTTGATGATGTTATTCGCGCCGTCGGGGCCGTCGAAGATGCACATCTGCATGGCCATGTGGCTGGGCGGCGCCGACTTGAAGCCGAACGGCGGTGGGAGTTTGTGGTAGTCGTCGTCCTTCCACGCCGCCTTGTGCAGCTCGTCCAGTTCGGGGGGGGGTCGGGTCTGCGTAACCAGTGTTGAAATCGATGTTGTGAACGAGAGGGTTCTCGTTCTCCCCGAAGTCGTTGGTGAGTTCAAGGAATGGCTCCAATTCGCCCTTGGGGAGAGCGGCTGTTACCATGGGGGCAGGCAGAGGGCGGCAGAACCAACCCTCGGTCGCCGTCTTCAGGTCCTCGTATGCGGACATGTCACGCCCTGGAGCGACGCGGCAGGTTAGCCAGAGGGCGCAAACGCGTTGCTGATCTTGAGCCCAAAACAGCTACGATCTGAGGAATGCCGCATAACGCACACTGCTGCGCGAACGGTCCCTTGCGCCCGCTTACACGGCAGCAGCCGGGTGCACATGAGGGACGTCTACGCCACAACGAGTGTCGCATCTCGCATCGGCCGTGCGCACCGCAATACCACTGTCACACTCAGTGCCTCCTTGCACCACAAAACCCCCGCACACAGCAGCGCCTGCGTGCACCACAGGGCCCGTGCGTTTTCAGTCAAGCAGCTGGCTTCCAGTACCCCGAGGTGCGCGACCGAACGCGTGCAGCTACGTGGCGCTGTTTTCGGGCGATTTGCGGGGAACCCATTTTTGGGTTCCCCAACTGGCGGTTGTCTGCGTGGCGTCGTTGCCGCCGCCTTCGGCCCTGAGCGCTCATGCGGTAGAGAGGGGCATCCAACAATAGATGCCCCTCGGCCATGACCCTTTTCCCCCGGTTTGTTCTTTCGCACGGAGGACATCCGAGAAATGGTTAGTTACATTGTGGAT